AATTTCAGATGCAATCATAAAAACTAGCAATTAGAGACCGTAATTAGCTTAATTTAATTACGCCCTAAGGACCATAAAATTGAGGACATGATTTCTAAAGATACCGACAAGACTGAAGGCCTTTTGACACAGTTACTTCGGCCCCAATCGATGTGAGCGCGCTGGCCGTGATCGTATTGTGGTTAGTACTTCGCGTTGTGGCCGCGAAAACCCAGGTTCGAATCCTGGTCGCTCAAGATTTTTAGTCCGTGTATTTATAAACACTTAGTCAAGTCATACTTAATCAAGTCATTGGATAAAGTAGAAAATAAACTATATAAAAAAACTTTTTTTTAAAAACCACGTTTTTCATGTGTAGCAACGGACTAAAAAGGAGAAAATAAAATACTTAAAAATAACTTTTTAAAAAACCACGTTTTTCTTGTAGACTAAAAAGTAGAAAATAACTATTTACATACATTTGATGACAAAAAACGTGGGTCGGGCAGATGGGTCGGGAAATTTGATGGTGAACGTACCCACGTTTTTTGTCATCAAATGTATGTAAAACGTGGTTTTTTAAAAAGTTTTTTTTAAGTATTTTATTCAAAACGCTATTGTGTTGAATTTTAATCTAAATATGCTGGCGGCCCACCTTTGGGGTAAAATACAGACGTGAGGTGTGGGCGGGGAATTTTACCCGTTGCTCTTATCTTCGGTTGAAAAAAAAAATTAATACGCTTGACCACGTGGCGGTAAATAGCTCGCCAGATCTACCAAAATGGACTGGGGTGGGTAAGGGCAGACACTGATACATCCATAGCCTCACCCTACCCCCACTAGTCCGTGACGCAACAAGCCGACGATCGACGCCTTTGATGTTGTGTAACACCCGTACGGTACCCGAGTGGCTCGCAGTGGTTTATGGCCCCCCCGTCACAAGATTTGAAACTAAGGGGAGACAATAAAAATATTATGCTTTCTATTTTCATTGTCGCCTGTAAACTGTCGCCACAGACGACTGCTTTCACGGAGTGGGGAGGGGGTGGGAGTAGAGAGAGAGGAGTGGAAAGTGAGGGTGAGTATAATCGTTCTTCACTAGCTACTGTGTTTTTAAGCAAAATATGTGCCACTTTTGTAATTTAAGTTAGCCCCCCTCCCCCCCCCCCCCCCCGCCACGCTCCCAGTACCTGTCCATGGTAATCATACCGACATTGCTTTGTAGAGTCCGTTTTTTTTTGGCAATTGTGTGTCCGTCCTCCCCTTCCCTCCCTGACCTCGCTCCTAGCCCCGCCGACCATTGAGGTTACGTCAAGCAGACAGTGTCGCTGTAATAGGCGCCAGACTCACCGACCAAATACATCATGCGTTAACGTCATTACCATTTATTGCGCGTTAATCACCTGACCAGTTCATCCCCCTACCTTCCCTTGACGATTTAAAACACCCACCCAATCCCCCCCCCACCCAACCCTTGACCTTCCTCTCATGTTTGAATTCATTTTTAATTTGACACCCCCCCCCCCCCCCGCCTTCCACAAATCCTAACGCCAGACTGAAACATAGTTCTAAAAGTGGCTAGGTCAATGTGTTGTTAATTTAGAAATCTAAATACTGTGTGGCCCTTCTATAATAATAATAATTGTTATTAATCTAGACAGTTAATTGTAATTTATTTACCCTGCTAGTGTGTAAAAACAGAATACATGTGCGGGGGGGGGGGGGGGGGTGTTGCGAGGCATTTTATATATGTTGAAGAATCAGCTTAAAGCGGTCTTAATTTTTGTTTGATTCCACTGGAACATAACTCATCCCTCCTTCCTCTCACTTCACCAAACCGCTTGGCTTTTCTTTTTTTAAATACTTTTTTTTTTCCATAAAACAAAATACAACATATTTACAATAACATGGTTAACATATCTTTAAATAAGTACATATATTAGTTATTTACAGGGAGAAAGAGGAAATCCAACATATTTACAGTAAACTGGTATTCATTTCTTTGAAGACATATATTAATTATATACAAGAAGAGGGAGGAAATATAAATTGCTAATTTGTTCTCGAAATGGGCGGGGTTCAAAATTAAAATATTTAAATAATTGAACACGTCGATTCCCCCACCCCCGCAATTATTCTATAGGGTTCCAGTTCATCTGACTTGCTGCCCTCAACTCATAGGGTACGATTTTCGGCAATTGTGCGTTTGTCTGCCCTTCCCCTTCCTACCCCCCCCCCCCAAACATTCCCTCTATAAGAAACAATTGACTTCCTCCTCTTTACTTAAACTTCGTCTACAGAGTTGTATTAAACATTTCCAACCAATACACAATGTGTTAAATTAAAGATATGGTTCTTTTTTTGGCTGTACAAACATAATATTATTTATACGATTCACGCTCGTATTATATTTATCAAAATTGTTTCTTATATGATGGATCATAAAATCGAATATGTAGAGATTAAATAATTTTTTCCTGTTCAACCCCGACCCCCCCCCCCCCCCATCACCTCCCCATTACAGTCGTAGTGACAGCTATTAGGGGCAGATAATTTAATTTGTTTTAAAGATTGGAAACTAAGGGGAGATAATAAAATATTCTGCTTGCTCTTTTCATTGTCGCATGTATACTGTCGTCACAGACGGCTGCTTTCGCGGAGTGGGGTGGGAGGGGGGAGGAGAGCGAGAGAAGTGGAAAGGGAGGGTGAGGGTAATCGTCCTTTACTGGCTACTGATAGTATTTTAATAGCTTAATATTTTCAATCGAAGCTTTTAATGTCGTATTTACAAGTTATGAATTACTGAAAAATAGGAATTAAACTAAAGAGCAGCGTCAGCTCGTGTTTTATAATTATCCTATACCATACAGTTTTTATACGTATTTAATGTGACTTGCTGCCCTCATCTCATTGCAACAATAGGTACTGCCCACATTTATCACGCACATTACATAACAGCGCAAAAGATCAAAACAGTTAAGTTAGGCCCTATGATTTATTAAGATTTTTAAATACATATTTTTTTTAATAAATCGTATGGTAATTTTGAAAACATATTGGCCTGCAGACGGAAATAAAATTATTGCGTAGATTTTTTATAATCAAATATGTGCTTAGTCAGGTTTATGGCCTATTTATTACATAATCTGTCCTTGAACTCAAGATTCAATAGGCAAGCGAGTCAGACGCATGTTATGAGACAGACGTCTAGCGAAATTCCTGAAAGAATGTCCCCGGGCTACGTTGATCCAACAATGTGCGAATAGGGGCGGGGGAAAGGTGCTAAGCTGAAATCGTGGCGATACATGGGCAATTTTTGCGAACATGGGGAAATAATTCTACCATGTCTGTCGGTAAGCATTTAAGCTCCACCCATATCAAGAAAAAACGAACTATTCATTGGTTTAGAATATCACCAATCGTGCTTTCGATTTAGTGACCAATACTAAAAAAATGTATAGCACGTGACTATATAGGTTGGGCCCTGGTTTTCCGAATGCTTTTAGTGGTCATTTATATTATTGCTGTGGTGAATGTTTGTGTTCTAAAGGAATATTTTTCGGACTCGTCATCTTTTCCGTTCGTGTTCAAGACACATGGGGCATACTAAGTTACGCGTCTTGGATATTTCTTTCAATGTTGTGATCGGTGTGTTAGTGTTCTAAGTACATGAATTACAATTATTCTCACTCATCATCATCTTTTCCGTTTGTGTATGTGTTTAAGACACATAGGACATACTAAATACTACATCTGTTTTAATTATCTCGGGATACAAGAGGATAAAATGGCCCGTATTGATTTCTACACCCTTTTGGTAAGTAAAGCTTTAAATAGATTTTGAAAAAAATATAGTCGCATGTGTATAGAAGCGGTCTTTTGTGTAGATTATATTAAAATTCTACATTTTAAAATATCACCCTATGATGTTAACCCCAAAGTCACCCCACCTAAATTTGCATATATTACGATAAACGTCCAAACTATCATCGTTCTTCATCCCATCCCCTTTAACCACGCTTGAATATGACATAATTTTTTTACCCCTATGTAAAACAATAACTTCCAGATGTATAAATAGGCATTACCATGTGCTCAAATAAATTGTATGGAAACACGTATCAGTGGTGCCTATATTATCAAACATACTCTTTTAGATACTACAATATCGATCTATATTTTAAGCGTGAAACTTCAATTTATGTGGGTTCATTTAAACTTTTTATGTTTTATATATACGGCAATAATTTAATACAGTTAAATACGCACGACTTCCAGACTTTCCCGCACCCCCACGCATACTTATCGCATTTATCTAACCTTCATGTAATAGACATATCGAAATAATTTAATACAGTAAAGATTATAACTACACACAACTACGTGACTTTTCCCTCACCCCCCCCCCCGCATACTTATCGCATTATGTGCACAACTCACCCCTATCCACACCACTTACATTTTAAGTACACACATTCTTAGTCAAGTCTGAATGCAATGTTTACAACTTTTTTACAATTTTTTTTTTACTTTATGTTTTAGACTTACGGAAATTTAATACAGTTTATTTTATAATAAAAACACACAACTACGTGGCTTTTCGCACCAACTTGAATACTAATCGAATTACGTGCACAAATCACCCCTATCCACACCATCACTATTTTAAGTACTACCTTCTTTAATCTAAACTGAGCGAAATGTTTACATTTTTTTTTCTTTTTTTTTTACATTTTTCTAATGTCGTAAAGCTATAAAAAGCTATATAATATCAGGATCGCGTAAGTTAGGAAGGTTTTCTATAATACATATATGTAACGAAGTAAAAAAGTGCCAAATATCTATATCAGACAAGGTTGCAAAGTATTTCATCTTATAGCTTGTATACTTCCCGGTGATTGTTCCCTTTGAGAACTTATCTGCGTCACTTCGACATGTTACAACGTCGAACTCCCTAACTTACTAATGTCTGTATATATATATATATATATAAGCCAAATTATGTTTGTATGTATTGACAGGCACTGCCACTGGATGGCTGATTGACGCTGCTGAACAAATGTTGTTGAATAAAGACCCCAAAGTAAACACCATGCTGACGCAGTTCGCTGACAAGGCTATGAGCCAGCTTACAACGGCTCTGAAAGAAGCCTTACATGAGGGTTTGCGTGGACTGAATGAGGTGATCAGAACGACGGTGACAGGGGCGGTCGACGATGTGAAAGATGCCGCTGTCAAGCTTCTTGAATCGACGGTGAATGAATTTGTGAAGAATCTAACGCCAAAGCTACCCGCTCTGCCCCCTCTGCCAAAGCCACCCACTCTACCCCCTCTGCCAAAGCTACCCACTCTACCCCCTCTGCCAAAGCTACCCACTCTACCCCCTCTGCCAAAGCCACCCACTCTACCCCCTTTGCCAAAGCTACCCACTTTACCCCCTCTCTGGTGAGACGTTTTTTATGATAAGAAACAGGTAAGTTTCGATTTAATAATTATAATAAAATTACAAATTAAAAGCTGTTTTTATTTTCTACTTTTCAGTTATTCATAATTTGTGAATTCGACAGTACCAATGCTGCAACTGAAAATATTTGCTTTAAAACACTACCCCCCCCTTTCCCTCAACCCCTACCCTATACCCCCCCCCCTCACTAAACCCGGCTATACGAATGTAAACATTTAGAGTGAACACCGCTCACCAGACCATGTGGGGGGGGTGGTAGTGATAGAGAGGAAGAGAGGGGACTGCAAGGCGCAGTTTGCAGCTTGTTTTCTAACGTCTCCCAGAAGAGAATTATATATATAGATTGGAGTCGTCAAAGCTAATTATTACTAAACCGAAAAATCTCGAGTTCGAACCCTCGAGTAGATGAGCCTCGACAGCTGGGGACAGCCACTCTTCTAAGAGATAAAACTCTAAAATCAAACAACTGTTGCCTTGTAGTTTGTTCTTGGTTGGACACGTAGCATGGATCTTATCACCATGTAGTCTGGCTGGCGAGCCTGCTCCGCGGGTCATCAATAATCATGTTTTCAATCAAACATAATATGTGTGATCTATACCAGAGGCGTAGTGAGGGCGGTGCGGACCGCACCAGGTGACACCATTTAGGGGGGGACACCAAGACAAAACATTGCAAAATTATACAGAAGAAAAATGTTCTTTAGCCATTTCCACAAATGATTAATAAAATCTAAATAGTCTTGAAAGTACGAATTGACAATTATTACAGAGGGTGGGGGTGACACCATGACGTAAACGTGCTAACTATAGAGAAAACAATGCTACATTGAAACTGTATTATTAACAGACTATAGATAAACATCGTTACTATAAAATCTGCAGTGATTAAAGCTTATAAATATACATGTACGCGTATGTGGCATATAGTGAAATTATAGGACTATGTAGGCCGACACATACACACAAACATATTATATATATATATATATATATATATATATATATTTGTTTCTTAGGGGGGGTCGAAGTGCCGCCCCGGGGAACACCCGACGTGGTGACGCCACTAATCTATACAATACATAAAGCAAATACAACGTATTAAAAAAATTATTTTCATTTATTTTCAGATGTCAGGAAACAAAAAATAAGATCCTCATGTCTTACCTGAAGCTTTGGACGACTTCAATACATTTAGATGTGGACAAAAAGATGAAATCTTTTTCTTTTTAAATAAATAATCAGAAATCATGTTGATTTTTTTTTCTCTTATCATGTTTGGAAATGGAAGTTTGTCAGTAAAATGTCTGCTTTAGTTTTCTCATTTGTGATGTTTGGAATTGGAAGTTGGAAAATCAACTATTCGTCCTATTCGTTTCTTTTTTTAAGAAGTGATCCAGCTGGCTTTTTTAATTTCTAGTACACACAGTAGAGAAAGTCTGTAATCGTACACAAAAAATCAATGGGAACTATAACAAACACGCATCTTATAGTGTTAGCAGCGCCAAATTGATTCAATGTGATTAAGGTAGAAAAATATTGACAAATTTTGGACTTTGATTATTGTGAATTTTGGTGAAGGCAGGTGGGAGGGGCAGTGACGTCACCCGGTGCGGCAGTTTCGTGATTTCGCCCCCTCCCCCAAGAAACAATATATATATATATATATATATATATATATATATATATATATATATATATATATAATATATATATATATATATTATATATATATATATATTGTATATGTTAATAAATACAGTTGGATGTAACATTGTTTTTTCTATAGTTAGCGTGTTTACGTCATGGTATCACACTCGCCCTCTTGTTATAATTGTTACAGCTAGGTTTCATATATAAGTATTTTATCAAAATCGTAGATCCGTATCAACTTTTGAGCGATTTCCGATAACCGGAAGTGGTACTTTTTCTACTTTGAATTTTTCAAAAGACTATAACTTGAATACTATTTCAGATAGATAAGTGAAATTTCACATGTTAGTAAAAGATCTTACTCTCTTTTGTCAAATTATGAGTAGGCCTACTTTCCGTTGGCTGGAAGCAGTAATTTTTGCTATTTCCGAGTTCTGAAAAAACGAATGTAAATTTATAAAGTACTAATAATATTCAACGCCAGAGTTTCTCCCAGGCATTTCTCCGAGGGGCTCAGCCCCCCCCCCCCCCGCCGAAAAAAGTCTACCGCCCGTCCGAACGAAATGAAATTTATATAGAAAATATATACTTTTAACAGTGTCCGCCCCCCCCCCCCCCCCGCCGAAGAAAGTCTACCCCCCCACCGAAAATGTCAAGTGCTCCCTCCCCCCCCCCCCCCCCCGGAGAAAAAATGTCTGGAAGAAACACTGTTCCACACTATTATGCACATTTTATTTGGAGTTCACTTGGTGTGCAATTCTTTTTTTTTTCTGTTAGATTCTATTATATTTCAAATAGTTGATGCCTGGAAAAAACTCTGTTCATTTGGTGTGCAATTATTTTTTTCTACAAGATTCTATTCTATTTCAAATAGTTTCAGTAGTTAAAAATGGATTGAAAAATTAAACAGCAGTGTTTGCGAGCAGGATTTGCTATATAGAATCTATATATAAAAGTTAGAGTGGCTCCCCCTGAATTTGCGCTTAGGGAATATCCTATATGATCTAGAATCTAGGTTATTCTAAAAGATCTAGAAAATCTAGCTAGACTAGTAGTAGATCTAGTAGCTATAGATCTAGATACTATCATACTATTTTACTAAATTCTAGGTCTAGATTCTAGATCTAGATCTAATCTAGATTTTAGATCTACACTACAGTGTGACTATAGACTTATAAAGTTAATAAACTATAATAAAATCTAGATCTAGTAAGTCTAGATTCTAGAAGTTATCATTTATCGCAACAGATGGTATTGAACTATTCTATAAAATTGAACTGTGTTGTGGGTAAACCTCCATTTCAGCGTATTTTATTCTCCGTTGCTTGTTTACCTCCAGTTGAGCGTATTTTATTCTAACAACCGAAACACACCAAAACATTAGGAAAACACGATTTATTTTTTGTATTGTATTTTTGTTTTAGCAAATGAATAAAAATGAATATTTAAAAAAACACGACTTGTTTATTTGTATTTGTATTTTTAAAAAATAAGGCATTTGTCTCATGGTGAAACTGATACACTGTTAATCATTCTGTTTTATATTTTTGTATTTATGCAATAAATGTACAAACCTCTTTTTTTTTTAATTTGACAGTTTTGCTAAAACTGAAAAAATTTTTTTACTATAGAGTTGTATGTTATTTAAATTCATAGTAAATCTACCATCCTTCCCTTTTTTGTATGAGTAAATTTCTGACTTTTAAAAAAAATTGATGTGGGGTCGTCCATAAATGACGTCACACTCGTAAGGGAGAGGGGGGGTCAGCAATTTTGTGACGGTGTGTGATGAGGGGGAGGGGGTGGGGTTTCAGATGGTGTGACGTCCCTTTTTTGCATTATAAAAAAGCAATGTTAGAAAAACAAGTTTTAGCCGTTATTTCGCGTTTTAGAAAACGGTTTTAATAAATTGTAATATGAATTGATCAAAATACTCTATGTTGACAGAGTTCTGACAAGATTTTGGAAAAATTATCGATGTTTTAAGAAAAATTCAACAGAAATTTTGAGGGGGGGGGGGGGGTTGTAGGCTGAGGTGTGACGTCAGTTTAGGGGGGGGGGGGTCTGACTTTTTGTGACGACGTGTAACGGAGGGGAGGGGGGAGGTAAAAAATCGTAAAAAAAACGCGTCGTCACAAAAAGCAAGACCCCCCCCCCCCCCCAAAAATGATGTAGCACCATCTGACCCCCCCCCCCTCCCCCTACGAGTGTGACGTCATTTATGGACGGCCTCTAACATTATTTTTTTTAAAATGACAACGTGAGTTGTCACACTTTCTCTAACACTCCAAGCCAGCCCTCACCAAATTCCACCCCCCCCCCCCCCCCCCGGCCCACTTTTAGCAGCATTATTGTGCCTTTTAATACTTTTATTCAGTTTAGTTGAAATTGGAACACTTAATTGTACAAAATGTGCATCTCTATTTTTGTAACCAACAAACAAAGCACTTCAGTCAGTCTCTTTGTTGTTTTTATACAATACAAATAAACAAGTCGTGTTTTTTAAATATTCATTTTTATTCATTTGCTAAAACAAAAATACAATACAAAAAATAAATCGTGTTTTCCTAATGTTTTGGTGTGTTTCGGTTGTTAGAATAAAATACGCTCAACTGGAGGTAAACAAGCAACGGAGAATAAAATACGCTGAAATGGAGGTTTACCCTATCACATTTTTAAAAATTAATAATAGTATTTCGGCCTCTATTACTCTAGAAATATTTTATTTTAAGAACTTATGCTATAGGCCTAATTTATAAGCTTTAGTTTGCTAAATTCATAAATTGTCAAGTGATCTCTGCTGAGGCATGTCTAAATTGAAGGAAAAAATTTTCAAACAAGTGTGTGGATTGTAACAGAGGCGTAGCTGGGGGGGGCGACATATGTCCCCAGGCGCCGACCATTGGGGGCGCCAAAATGGGTTGGAAAAATAAATTGAGGGGGGGGGGGGGTGCTAATCGAAAGTTTGAGGGGGTGCTAATTGAAATCTTGAGAGTGGGGGTGCAAATCGAAATCTTGAAGGGGGGGGGGGTGCAAAACAAAAGTTTGTCCCCGGGTACTGGGAAGCTGGATTGTAAAGCCACAATGATTGTAAAAACTAACACAAAAAAGTAAAGTCACAAAGAAACACATGTTTATGCTAAGAATTGAACAGTCTTGCGTATCGCAGGAATGTTTTATTTATAAACTTTTATTTTTGCCAAAGAAAAAGCAAGAGAAAACCTAAGTAATGGCCTTTCATGTCATCAAGTACATCTACTGATTACAGTCATTTATTATTCTCATTAGTACAAAAAAATAAATCTAAAATGTTTGCATGGGAAAAAAAGGTTGACAAAACATTAACCCTTTAAACTTGGGTGGATTTTTACCTGCATACAATTTTAATGCTTATAAATATATTGATTTCTTGCAGCTGGGTACTTACACCCATATATTATTTCAAAAGTAAATAGTTATTTTTACTTTTATTTGTTCAAGGTTAAGGTAAAGAAGGCTTGCTGAAGAAGTATCATCTTCATTTAAGTGAAATTTATGGTAACCTATTTTAAAATAAAATATAAAATTAGATTAGGCCTAATTATTATAAATAATAATAATTAATTGTATAACTATTATTTGATCTTATACTAGATTTATAATATAATTATAGTGGATATACAATTCCTTTCTGTTACAGTTATTTCATGCACTGGGCATTGAACATCTCAAAATGTATTGGCCAGTAGTTTAAATTTTATAGTTGTAAAATATATCTAGCTACAAGACAAGCTAAGTGTCCAAGTTGATGAAGATAGTGAGGGACCAACAAGTGTTAAGAGCAATTTCAGATTAATAGGTGGAATGACGCCCATTATGAAATAAATAAAGACATACAGTTATTTTATCTTCTACTTTTTATTCTCCAGAAAAATGCAAGTTCTAAATTACACACTACAGCTGTTTAGTGAAATGTGTAATGTAATGAATAGGCCTACTTCCTTTACCAAGTAAGAAGACAACCAAGTAAATCTTGTATTTTTCTTAATAATAAGCAAATTTGTGGTCTCCATTTATGAAAGATTGATAAATGTGCACTAGTATAAGGTTTTAATGGCATATATTGAGCTGTCCATTTCCAAAATGAATTTATATTAAGTGAATAGCAAAATTTGGTTCACTTAGATCTCTAAATGGTATAGCTATACCATTGAGAGCATATCATTAATATTAATCCAATGTCTTTTATTTGTGTAGATAAAACTTCTTGATTATGTGGATATGGCATTTTCAATACCTGCAATACAAGATGTTCAATTAAATATAAAAGGTAAGAACTAATTAAATAACAACAAAGCTTACAGGTAGATTATGTTTAAAAGTAAAATAATTTTTTATATTCCTGTTCTAAAGTATGTCGCTCATTTACATCAGTTATTTGGCATAGTGAAGTATAAGTAAAATAAAGTGTAAGTAGTAAAGTATAGACTTCATATTAATCACAATAGCTAGTCATCATTAACATGAATTAATATTTATATTCATTATCACATTAGTGTCTTATCTTTTAGCCAAGACCAAAGGATTTCTAAAACCACTTCCTGATTAATCAGCCCTTGGAAACATAACCAATAGAACACATTGTGTCATTTTGCTTATAAAATAATGTACACACTTTGTAGTTTGTACAATAAGAAGTCTGCAGCAACATTAAATCTTGAGTTTTCAAAATAATATTATGATACTCTCAATGTTTTGTATAGAAATTGTTTTTCAAATAATACTTCTACACAACTATTTTATTATTACCATACTTAAATGGCCCACAAAATGTCATGATAGATCTTGTTCACATACAGTTAAGAAGTAGAATATGTAGTTAAACATCTTCTAATAACTAGTTACACTAATTACATAAAAACATTTGATTTCTGTGACTTATTTTCCTCTAAGTTTTGTTAAATTTGTGTTGCAGTATTTTTCTTTAAAAAAATGATTATACTGCACTAAAAGGGAAATTACTAGCACACTAATGTTTGATACCTGATTAGGCTACTATTTTAAAACAAATGGGAATTTCAGCATAAAACATTTTTTAAGACGTACAGTTTATAAAATGTATTAATATTTTGAATAACCTGAACTGAATTATTTTTTTATCTTTTTATTTCAGAAAATTTTGAAGGTACAAGTGAAGTAAAAACTAACAAAGGAATATTGAAGGTTCAACACTGCACAAAGAAAGGGGATCACAAAGTATTTATCCCAAAGAAAGAGTTTGGGAAGTATCACCTTCCAAAAGGCTACAGAAGTGATAAAATGATAAAATGTATTAATGTCCTGTGTGATTTAACTGTGAGGATCACGGTAACGTTTATCAGCCCAGGTCGACACCAAGATGATCCATTTTATAAATTAAGAAATAGAAAAGTTAAAATGTTTGGAACCGGCACAGTGACTGATATACAAGACCAACCAAATGCTTTTGAAAATTTGGATTGCTTGTGTAGTCTTTGTGTAAACAATTATAAAGGAAATGGCTTGACTATAGTGACTATCTTGACAGCTTGCCATGTGGTTTTTGATTGTGAGGAGGTGAAAAATACAACTGTTGATTTTTTTTATGATGATGAAGAGGATATCAAGCATATAAAAACTTTAACAGGATTTTGTATGAGAGACAGAAATATAGATGAGGATACCTGTTTTTTCCAGTGTTTGACTGGAGATAAAGACCTGATTGGTACACTAAGAAATAGGTTAGATGAATATGAAAAGTTAGACACGCATAAAACCTTAATAGCCAGAGATGACCAGCACATTGTCATAGCCTCACACCCTCATGGTCTGTGTAAACATTTAACAATTGGACAGTGGTCAGCCATCACAGACAAGATGACATTTAAAGAAAATGTAGACATATATGAAATGTATTTAAAATCATTAAAAATAACTACAAATGGAAAAGAAGATTCTGAATTAAATGAATCTAACACACCTCCAGTTCGAACGATAGTCAATGAAAAAAAAGGTAATACATGTATTATCGCTTTGAACATTCTTGTAGGAAACAAAATCTTTAAATATATTTCATAAACATACACATTTACTCAGTAAAAGTCATTACCTTTAATCATAAACCCTTTTGTTAAAAAATAATTTGAAATTTTTTTTCTTTTCTATAACTCACTTTTTCCATTGCATCAACATAATGTTACTTGGTATAATTTTATCTGGTTTTTAAAAAAAATCTTTTGAGAATGAAAGTAATTTTATGCATTTTCTAGTTTTATATATGCATGCTGCATTTATTTTTTGGTTACTGCCAGTAGTCAATCACACAAACATAATTTAAAGTTGAATTACAACTACAACTACAATGAATATATTTCTCAGAATCTGCGTTGGTCGGGATAGAGTGTGAAGTTCACTTTCCTGATTTCACAACAGCCAAGTGTCAAATAGCAATACATGATGTACGAGTCAAACATGTAAGTAATTTTTTTTTTGTAATTGTGAAAGTAATCAGTTATAGTACTAGAGCTATTATATTGAAACAAAAGTTCAGTATAAGCTATTAAATTAGTGACACTTGTTTAAAAAAAAATTAAATAAGATATCTTGATACATAGGCCTTATTGTGTATCTTTATACGAATTGCATATAAATTATAGTTTTCATATCATTAAAAAAAGACAAAGTTTTAGCCCTGACTGATTCTCTGTGTTTTGACTGGTCTATGGGGGAACTCATAATGTGCCCCTTTTATATTATACATGCGTGCATTGTTGCGATCGCATAAAGAAAGAAATTCAAGTACACTCATATTGATAACATTTAATTGTTACTTATGGTGTATATTTAGGTGCATGACTCAATATTCTATCAACACCCAAATCAGAAAAATAAAACAAAAACAGGCCATTATTGTACTTTAATCACCGCAATGCTGAGGTAGAACACCCATTTGTCGACGCCCAGGTGTAAGAAGTGTCTTAAGGCTCTTGCGAGAGACATTGGTCAAACTTTCGCAGTGCCCCGGGTGCCTCCCTGTATCGGCCCGGTAATAAGTTGTGTTAGCCCATGAATCACTCGTGCAGGGCGCTCTTCAAAACAAACATAGATGCCAAAGTGCTAGTTAGTTTTTTTATGCCAGGATAAAGGTAAATAACCAAGTAGAATATTTCTTAGAAAAATAATCTAAGTTTGGTAATTTCTTTTATTATTCAAAAGATTTTGGGGTCAGAAATTATTTTTTTTGTCATCGAAACCTTTTCCCAATAGCATTTTAAACAAAATCCAGAATTTCACAGAGATAGGATGAAAGGTGTAGTAATGCATATAAGACAAGCATACAGACAGACACATACATGCATTTATTTATGTATATATGCTGTTAATTAAGTCAGGTAAAGGATATTTTTAAACAGCGTTATTACCTACTATGCAAGTCCCTGGGTTGGCATTGCTAAGAGTGTTGTATGATTGTAATGCTATAATAATGGCATATTGAAGAATTCTCTGAGAATTTCATACAATTCTAAATAAACTGCTTGAAATCTGTGTAGTGATACATTGACTCTTTGGTTTATATTTCCATAGATAAAATTTCAACTAGTGCAAGTTGGGAGCATTTACATTCCAGCAGATGAACTCTATTTGGAAATTGTGTTGTCAAATGGAGATGTCCAGAAGATGAATGATGATGAAGAAATGGTTTATTATATAAATGATATTTTAGATTGTACACATATTAACATGAAAAGAATTTAAAGAGTACAGATAAACCTAGATCCATTTCTGAATAAAAAAGTGTGTATTAAATAGAGTGTATTAACCAGAGAAGGGTTTCAGTTATAACAAAAATTTCTAAACAAGTATTTAAATCTGTAAAAAAAAAATCACTCTGTGATTTTTCCGAAAATCCTAAACTTTAGCAACACATAACTAGTCGTGCAATTTAGGCCTACATCATTTATCTTCCCTACCAGAAACTCAGTTATTTTAAAATATCAAGTTTTCTGTTAAATAAGTCTTTATTGAAAGACTAAGTATGTAGCAAAAAAAAAAATAAAAAAGGGTGACTGCATCCCAGGAATTTATTCTTTATAAAATTTAAAAAAAAAAAATGTGAAGACAATAGATTTTACAAGTTACAATTACATATGTAAAAGTTTAATTCTTTTATTTTTCCTTTGCAAAAGAAACTGAATACTAAACAAATACATAAAAAACGTTTCAATAACAAGCTTTTAAGTTTTATTTAATAACTAGGCATGCTGCCCAGCTTCGCTTAGGCTTTCGAAAACATTGAGAATTTGAATGCTTAATTAATTCGCCCGAGGGTCGGTCTACGACCTCAAGAGTTATGAAGAGGTTCCTCTGTGGACATTTTTTTTCGATTTATAGCTCATATAAGGCGCCGGTCAGTCGAGGTCAGTTTTGACCCCTTTATCGTAGACTTTTCGGCCAACCGGCCCTCGTGTTCTGTCGCCCCAAGGCAAGATCCTGCCAAATCTGAACCGCCTGCGGCGCCGGGAAGTGCCATATCGGACACCCGACAACTTTGCTTTATATAATATAGAGATTAGCAAATTGCATAGATAAACAAAGATTTCAATAACGTAATTAAGGCCTGAAATACTTTAGTATAGAAATGTATTGTTTGAATAGATTCTAGATCTATGTAGGGTCTACATCTGTGTAAGTCTAATTTTTCCGTAGATCTAGATCATCTAGATCTAGATCTAGAATCCTAATAGAATTTTTTTTTTAAGTTTAGCCCGAGCAAAATAAAAAAAATAGATTAACCAAGTTGACTTGGTGCGTCTCGAACCCGCACCACCTGCGTGGGTTTAAGTACACTATCATCTCCGCTATATCGGCACCTTAAAAAACGGAGAATAAAAGACGTATTTTAAAATCTTAACTTACGCGAATATGCCTATTCTTTCAAATTAATTTTTTTATCCCAAATTAGCCAGTTCCAAACAAAGATTTTGTATAAAATAATTATGTCTTGAAATAGTTTAGTCCTAATATAGAAATTTATTTTTGGAATAGATTCTAGAGAAGTTAGAGCTAAATCTAGATTCTAGATCTTAGCGTCTACGTCTCGATCTAGTTATTGCGTAGATTTGTAGATTTAGATCTAGTCTAGATCTAGAATCTCTAGATCTAGAATCCAAATAAATAAAATAAATTTTATGAGTTTAGGCCGGAAAAATTGTATTGTGTACATTTCATAGTGTACGTAGATCTAAATCAAATTTGAATGAAATAGTTCATTTCTTTTTATTCTAAACACGACAGATGACGTCATTAGTTAATGTATAAACATTAGTTACGTCACAGTTTTATGCGTTCTTTTTCACATCTATAAATGCTTTTCCGGTTGCATAAATAATACTGTTTCTCTACATTCGAATACGCCTTTATTTTTTATTTTTCTTCTTTAAATAAAATTGTGGTTATACATTTAAAACATCTACCATATTATTTTCAACAAAAGTCCGTATAAAGTTCTCGATATATCGCTGTAGATTCTGATGTGATGTCCGGCGAAAATATTTTGCGGACAGACAGAGAGAGAGAGAGAGAGAGAGAGAGAGAGAGAGAGAGAGAGAGAGAGAGAGAGAGAGAGAGAAGTGCGAACGTGGCCCATTATATATTAGGATACAGTAATACACTAATAAAGCGGGAGTTTTCTCCCCCGAAACTTTCTCGAATATTCTTATATAACACTATGACTATGTGGGATGGAAAATCAGAATTGAATGGGGCGCCGTATTTTGACTTATCAAAAGGTTTTTTAAAATCGAAAAAACATAAATGCTGCTGCTTTTTAGTTATTATTTTTTTGTAAGCTTGCGTGGTCCTCAGCTTGGTAAAGTGACCAGAAATCATAACAAAGCTATTCTTTCGAGCTTTAATTTAACTTGCTTACTCTGTCTGTCGTCCTTTTATCGATCATAGACCGAAACGGGCGAGCTAAATTCCGAGTACTTCTATCAATTTCTCTAAAATTCGGCACACCGGCCAAACCCGATTACAATGCAATCTCACATAAAATTTGACTTACTCAGCTGACTAATTAATTTCTTATGAACTAATTTAAATTTTCTGAAATTATAAGTAGTAGTGTTCCTGTCTTCTACTACTTCTCCGAATTATTATACGCGCATTTTCATGCTCATTTATTTTCTCATCTATTTTCTCATTTTTACTTTCTCGTATATACGAAGTATAGAGAAAGTCTTGTAATCGTGCAAAAAAAAATCGAGATTTTTGCAAATCTCGACGTTTTGCATCTCACTGATACGGAAAAACATAATTTTGCAATCTTGTCCGTATGTCTGTGTGTCTGTGTGTGTGTGTGTGTGTGTGTCCGTGTGTAAACACGATAACTTGAGTACCGTTACAGCTAGGTTGATGAAATTTCATATATAAGTATTTAATCAAAATCGTAGATCCGTATCAACTTTTGAGCGATTTCCGATAACAGGAAGTGGTACTTTTCCTACTTTGAATTTTTCAAAAGCCTATAACTTGAGTACTATTTCAGATAGATAAATGAAATTTCATACGTAAGTAAAAGATCTAATTTTCTACCTTCTATTAAATTTTGAGTTATTTCCGTTGACTGGAAGTAGTACTTTACGCTACTTCCGATTTCTCAAAAAACTAATGTAAATTTTAAAAGTACTAATAATATTGCGCACTATTATGCGCTTTTTATTTCGCGTTCACTTGGTGTGCAATTAATTTGTCTACGAGATTTTATTCTATTTTTAAAACTTTAAGTATTTAAAATGGATTAAAAATCATGTCTATAGCCCGAGTTCCCATCCCCTGTTATTTTATATAAGAATATTCGAGAAAGTTTAGGGGAGATCACTCCCAGTTTATTAGTGTATTATTTTACATAAAAACTTGTTAAAAAAGTGTATGCCTTTTTTCCCAGTTCTTTAAAATTTGTAATTCAACTAATTACAAAGCCAGTCGAACCACAGGCCCAATTTTTAAAATCTTAAGCTTTGTAAAATTCCCAAGTTCTAAGGGTAACTTTTCATGGAAACACATGGAGTAAAAACATGAATACATATTTCATCCTAATTGAGTACTATTGATATTGCAACATTGAAAGCCCACCGATTTATCTTAGTAGCTTATTAATGTCGAGTTTGAAACGGACAGACAAACTCTAATAACCACTTACTTCACTAAGTTTAATAACACATTGTTAAAATTATTTCTTTCTTAATATTTTACTGTTTTTCATTTAATAGATTGTTCAAGTAGTAGGTCTGTTACTTTAAAAGAGTTGTTATCACTAGTTGCATTCTAATATTACCGTAGTTTAAGACCCTTTTACTATGCCACTCAGCTGGACGTTTTCTGTAGCCATGGTTTAAATATCAAATATCCTAAACATCTTATTCATAATATTGTAATTCCATGTTGTTTCCATAAAAAGATATCCTTGTTGGCTTTTTTTGAGCAGCCAAATTATATAAGGATCTAAAAGTAAAACTAAATTGGAAAAAAAACAATCGGTAACTCATCTGGGGGGCTGTTTCCCTTTAATCGATGTATTTAATTTTTATATATTACCTATTATATAATAAATATCAGCATATTTACAATAATTTTGCCTTTAAAAAAATATGAATTAGTAATACTTTTTTTTGTTGTGCCGACTGGCGTTTAATAGAATTCCTTCCATTGTGTGGATAGGTTGCATGTTAAAAAATTACAATGTAATACATAGTATAACATTAAAAAGATTTACAATGTCTTAATATTCCTTCTGATTTCTTTGTTCCATGTTTCTTTGATTTCTTTGTTCCGATTTCTTGGTTCCATTTGTTTCTTTTGATTTCTTGATTTTGTTTCCGGTTTGCTATGACATAAAGTACAGGACAATACAACATGATCGCTTCTCTGTTTTTGGCCGTGCTTCTTGTGATTAATACAGTCTTGGTTGGGTAGTGGTAGATTCTTAGTTGGTAGTTGTAGTTTGAGAATGTCAATGGGAGATAATCTGTTGTTGAAAGAGCGAGCTTGTGTCTTGTCGTTTATGGTAGAGTTGATCGAATGTTGTAGAACTTGGAAAAGGTTGACGAGAGTTTATGGATGATTACACGTGAGATGTTTTGAGTAATTGATCGTTGAGGGATGACAAGATGACTTGGTACTGGATGTCGTTAATGGAGAGGAGCTTGAAGTGGGCGAGATGGCGTAGAAGAATGATTAGTTTTCGTGTTATTGCTGAGTCGAGGATTTGAGCTTGGTCTAGTAGTCTTCGGGGGGGGGGGGGGGGGCGGTAAACTTTCTTCCGGGGGGGGGGGGGGCGGACACTGTTAAAAGTATATATTTTCTATATAAATTATATAAATTTCATTTCGTTCGGGGGGGGGGGGGAAGGCGGTAAAAATTTTTCGGGGGGGGGGGGGGAGATGCCTGGAAGAAACTCTGCTAGTAGTTGAAGTGGGTAGAGTGAAGGTGTTGACGATTGTTTGTTTGGGGTGAGTTGAGTTGGTATTGGAGAGATGGTTAGTTCGTTTACTGGTATTTGACGGACCCTCCCACCTAAGACGTCTCCTAGGTGGGTGTCGCCAAATTAGTGGCAAAGTAGTTAGTAGCGATGTGTTTTCGTGGTTGATAGGTTGATTGGCTGGCGATCGTGACGGATCCCCACCTAAGAGTTCTCCTAGGTGGGTGTCGTCAGAGTGGTAGTGAGTTTGTTGGGAGCGAGGTAGTTGTGTTTGACGTAGTAGATGAGTTCGATTTGCTGGCGATTGTG